TTGAGAGAAGATGATCAGATGGTCATCTGTGAACACTGCGAGGATTCCATTTGCATCAGTTGCGCGAAGCTGAGCTCTGAAGAATACTCTTTCCTACAGAAAACAGAGTCGTTTCACTGGTTCTGTAGCGACTGCGAGAAACCGACTCTCCGTGCCAGGAAAAGCGAGAAGCAGATGGAAGAGAATTGGTTCGCGATGTTCGCAGCATTTCGAGCTGAAATGGAAAACAATTATCGGAAAGAGATGAACACGTTGAGTAATTTAGTTGGCTCTTTGAGTAATGAACTGAGCTCGTTGCGCAAAGAGCTGATCGAAGAGAGAGCTCAACGGAAAAATACAGAAAACTTGGAAAAGATCTATACTATACTATACTATACTATACTATACTATACTATACTATACTATACTATACTATACTATACTATACTATACTATACTATACTATACAGGTTATACTCAACATCGCTACGAGTTCGTGAATAACGCTTGTAGGCTTCCTTCTTTGCCTTTAGTTTTGCTTTAACCGTATTGTTCATCCACTGTGTTTTTATAGATAGAGACACACGTTTAGAGATAGAGACACACGTGCCGTGAGTCACAATAGATACCGAAAAACGTGCCGTGATTCTCTGTAGATATCGACACACGTGTCGTGAGTCTCAGTAGATACCGACACACGCGCCGTGAGTTTCAGTAGATACAGACACACGTTTCGTGAGTCTCAGTAGATATCGACACACGTGCCGTGAGTCTCAGTAGATACCGACACACGTGCCGTGAGTCTCACTAGATACAGACACACGTGCCTTGATTACTAAATTATTAGCTTTTCAGCCTATTGTCGATAAAAGTTATTCATATTAAAAACATCAGTTCGTGTACAATTATCTCCGGTAAGTGGCCTTTATCAGCACTAAATTACTCGTTAATTACTCTGCCCATTAATTCCCGGCAGTGAAGGCAACGTGATGCTTCACGTGACGGACGTCCTCCGTGACCCCGACCGGTGAGTGGGACTGGCTTGGCTGGGTGAGTGACTTGGGTGATTTACTCTACACGGGATTTGTCCTGGGGTGCTCAGGGTTCTCTGGGTGAGCTACTTGGGCCAACTCCTGGTCGTCTTGGGAGCATTGGGGATGACACTAACTTTACGTGGTGAGTGATTTCGAAGATTGGGTAGGACATCCGGTGCTGCCAAATGGCGCCGCTTTCGCACAACTTTTGGATATCCCTGTAGCGTGTCCTGCTGTGGCCACCAGCGCCCCACCCATAACGACGATAATAAATGTAATTGTAAACATAGATAGCAATAGAATCTACTAAATGACAATAGATTACACAATTTGCATCAGGTATAAAAATGTTTATATTTTATAATGTAGAACATAAACATTTTGGGATACTAAGGCAAGTCTTGTATAGGCCATGCAAGTCTTGCCAAGCTCATCAGAGTTTAGCGGACTGCTTCAAGTCTCCTCCACTCACAGGAATGAAGATGCCGTAGACCAAGTCCTCACGCAATTGCAGTCCATCAACGCTGAGGACTTCGAGGCGCAGTGGCCAGAAGTGCATCGCTCCATGCAGGAAGCGGGCGCCTCAGCACCAGATTGGCGTGAGGCACTGCTGTGCCACCCCCGCGAGGCGAGGCTCGCCATCACAGCCGCGCAGGCGACCAGGGCGGAGAACAAGCAGTTCTTGATAACATGCGGTGAGATGCGCGTTTGTTTGTGCATTTAACCGAACCTGTTAAATGAAATTAATTCAGCATACGAAAAATCAGACGTTAGTCAGCGGAATTTTAGATGTGAGTCAGCTGACTGTCGTTTAATAAGAAAAACTATTTATTTCGTTAGCAGGCATGAAATAAAGTACACCGCAACTTCTTACAAGCGCGTATCCCGCAGACCGTGACCTGGCGGCGGTTGCCCTGATGATGCCGCTCGCCGGAGACTTGCCCATGACGGTGCAGGAGTCACCGGAAGTTCTGAGGACACCCGGTGGCGCGTGGCAGCAGATTACCCAGCACCACCGCGGGGACTTGGAACTTCTTCTTCCATTCTTAAAGTTCCTACCATGTGACGACCTCCTTCAGCAGCTGGTCGGCAGCAGGTGAGGTGTAATTTTTTCCGCTTCCCGCTGTGCATGATAAATGTATTGAGTTTAATAATACCAATGGTCATGCATGCGGTGTTGGATGAGAGTAATGTTATCAATGATCATGCATGTGGTGTTGGATGAGTTTAATGTTATTAATGGTCATGCATGAGGTGTTGGATGAGTTTAATGTTATCAATGATCATGCATGTGGTGTTGGATGAGTTTAATGTTATTAATGGTCATGCATGATGTGTTGGATGAAGTCCCGAGGCAGCTGAGAAATTGTCTCCCAGGCACCGCTGGGCTCACCTTTTAGTCTTTAATGTGATTAAATTGTTATAAGTATATTATCATATAATGTTGGTTTAACATAATATTTTTACGCTATTACTGTTTATCATTATATTATTATTATTAACATAACATAGTTATGTCGGCGCTGTTGAGTAGGCCTTTCGCCGATTCCTGTACTTTTCGTGATTTGAAGACAGAAGATCTAAAAGCATGTCCTTTGACCGGATCTTTTCAAGACCGAGGAAATAGGGAACATTAACATTGACAATATTATTTTTTTTTTCAAGAAATAGGCCACGGGTCTATTTTTGCAGTGCCAACACTTCTATTTGTCACCGGCCTGAGCTGCAGCAAGCCAATTTGAACGCAGTAAAGGCCTATAATTCACTATCAGGATCGAACGCTCACAGCTCATAGGCCAGGACAATATATGAATTTCAGGCAACTTTGCTTTCTACCTTAACCTTCAATGCCGTTTCTATCACCAAGTGAAATGCCGGTTCAATGGCAATGGAGTCACACTTTAATAGTTTATTAAATTAACTTCGATTAAAATCTTAAGGATACGAACAGGAAAATTAGTTTATTGAAATCACTTTGTTAAAGACGTAATTCCGCAAAGATAAAATAGTTTATTATGCGCACGTTACAATTAATAGCACTTTATTAAAAGTAACGTTTAACGCTGTATTGCACAGCATTAATGCACATAGTTTAGGACAAGCTTTAATTCACTTAGCGAAACGACAGCACGGAACACTGGTTTTAGTCAGCACGACTCGACTAGTTAGCAGAACTAGACTGACAAACTAGTAAGACATCAGCTACTGGCTAGTCCGCCTTCGTAGCACTGGGCTGACTGCTCAGGGTCACGGTCAGCTAACAACTGACAACAAGACTCAAGTGAATGCTGATCTCGGTTAACTACGTAACGTTCAGTAGCATACAGGTTCCTCTGTCGTGTGTATGATACGATTACGTGCCGCGTGCGGTTTCTTACATTTTGTGAACGATAACAATGGTTTAGCAGAACGCACATTAAAAATCTTAAATAATACACATTAAAAAACACGTGAATAATTAAAAACAAGTATTTTTGGGGATTACAGTTTTCTGTCGTTCACATTTTCTATTCTATTCTAAGACTGACGATAGCTTGAAATAGCTACTAGACTTCCATCGGGTTCGATATGGTGCTAGGCATTTCAAGTCTGAGCATATATTTTCCATAGCTTTATCTAGTCTGTTTTAAACGCGTTTATACTCGGAGCGTCAACTATGTAATTGTGAGGCTGTTCCACATGTCGGTGATTCGAAGCGAGAAGAAATGTTGTCGCGTGGATAAGTTGCAGCGTAGTTTTTCAGTTTATAGTCATGGCTGTGGTGTTGGTTCTTGTTTCCAATTCTATTAATCCTTCTGTGGCCTTGTATAAACCATGAGTATACTTGTATACTTCAATGAGGTCCCCACAAGCCTTCTGGGACCTTGTATAAACCATGAGTATACTTGTATACTTCAATGAGGTCCCCACGCAGACGTCGATAACAGAGGCTTGGAAGCTTCATAATCTTTAATTTTTTTCATAGGACTTGCCCTTCATGCCTGATATTATCGTTGTTGCGCGTCTTTGAACACTCTCCATTAAATTTGTATTGACATTGTTTTAGTAAAATAAATAAATATTTCCGTAATATAATTATTTTACTCTGTAGTATCTCGGCGTGGTCTCTGCTGGACGATGCCATTTCAAACCTCTGTATCCTTTCAGCCTAAGTTTGAGTTGAATTGTTTATATTTCTGAGGAACTTTCTCTTTCTCAGTGCAGAAGGTTGTCCATCTTATTTAGAAGAAAACAAGGTAGGTTTTGGATGGCAATGTTAATTATTTGTGTGATCAGACCTTTTTATCCTGGTTTATATTGTTAGACTTAATAAAAAAACAGTAAATAATTAAACATTTATTGAAAGTTTAACCAAGGACCACGAAAAAAATTTGGATGAAGCTAAGTTCAGAATAATGTATTTGGCAGTGAAGTAAATTCAGGCTGTCGTATACGAACGACTGAACCCAGCCTAACATAACTGCAGAAAAAAACAAGGAACCTTTATAGTAATCTTAAAAGTTACAATTCGGCAAAGCTGTAATGCCTCAGATATTTCAACAATTAACAATAATTCATATGATAAAGCAGGAAATTTACGCAACTTTAACAAGAAGACAATCTTAATAAACAAATATGGTAGTAATAATAAATAATAAATAAGGTAAGAATAAACAAATAGAGAAATAATCTAAACAAGGTAATAATGCGCTGCCACGCTGAGTGCATTTTGGTTCATTTTGAATAATTTTATAATTAATTATTCATTAATTAAAAATTCATTGTTTTATATTATTATCATTCTTATTAAAATAAAAATTACCATAATAAATATATAAATAAATTTTTAATGTTATTTTTTCTGCACTATTTATTAATTATCCATGCTCAGATTTTTCATCATGACTATACGCCGCCCAGCAGCCCGAGGGGCCGTGCGGCGGAGTAGCAAGGCTCGAGTGTTTTCTTGTGTTTGGTCCAACATCAGGAATATTATGATCTTCCTGCATGTGCAGAGTTAAGCGTTTCGAGGGCTGCATCAGGACGGCTGCAGGTGTCGAGGCTCTGGCAGCCGTCGCAGCCTCAGCGTCGCTGACCATCCGCCACAAAGCTCCGCTGAACCTCAGCGTCCTGCGAGGCAAATATATATACCTCAGTCAGTATTACCAGCGGGAATATCAGTATCGTTGTTAGGAGTATCATTGATACTTCCGGGTGATGCGTTGGATTTGGAATTTCACATGTTAAAATTTATTGCTTTTTGTATTTATTTTAGTCAATATTATACACAACTTTTTCATTTATAATTAGCAAATTATTTCAATTATAATAAAAGTTTTTAGTAATTTTTATGTATTTATAATATTTTGGCGTTGGCGTCCGTGATAGCCCGATCAGCTCCTGCTGTGTGAAATATGATGCTCAAGCGATAAGCGTGTGCTGCTCAAGCGACAAGCGTGCTGTTCTAGCGACAAACGTGCTGTTCTAGCGACAAGCGTGCTGCTCTAGCAACACTCGTGCTGTTCCAGCGACATGGGTACGGTTCTAGCGACCCAAGTGATGCTCTAGCGACACCCATGCTGCTCTAGCAACACTAGTGCTGTTCCAGCGACAAGGGTACTGTTCTAGCGACCCCAGTGATTACTCGTGCCACTCTTGCAACGCTCGTGCTTATCTTTCAGCTCTCGAGCTGCTCTTGAAACATTCGTGCTGATCTCGCAACACTCGTGCAGCTCTAGCAACACTCGTGCTGATCTCGCAACACTCGTGCTGATCTCGCAACACTCGTGCTGCTCTAGCAACACTCGTGTTGCTCTAGCAACACTCGTACTGATCTCGCAATACTCATGCTAATCTCGCAACACTCGTGCTGCTCTAGCCACACTCGTGCTGCTCTAGCAACACTCGTGCTGCTCTAACAACACTCGTGATGATCTTGCAACACTCGTGCTGATTTTTGCAACACTCGTGCTGCTCTAGCAACACACGTGCTGCTCTTGCAACACTCGTGCTGATTTCGCAACACTCGTGCCGCTGAAAGTGCAGAGAACCTGTTACTGTGATGGCTGTGTCGCAATCTTTATATTAAAAGCAATTTGTGTGAGGTCCATGAGGACGTTGGTGAGTGGTTCAGGGGTCGTGGGGAGTTGCTGAGGAGTGCAGGAGGAAGTGAAACCCACGTCAGGGGTTCAGGAGGATGATGAGACTTGGTCAGGAGTGCAAGATGACGAGAAGCCCATGTCAGGGGTGCTGGAGGACAAGGAGACTTGGTCAGGAGTCCAGGAGGACGAAGAAAGAACCTGAGGAGTGCAGGAGGACGAGAAGCCCACGTCGGGAGTGCAGGAGGACGAGGAGACTTGGTCAGGAGTGCAAGAAGACAAAGAAAGTACCTGAGGAGTGCAGGAGGACGTGAAGCCCACGTCGGGAGTGCAGGATGACGATGAAACTTGGTCAGGAGTGCAGGAGGACGAGGAGACTTGCCTATGAGTGTATGAGGATGAGAATAATTGCCATCTCTTAAAGGAGGGGGGTAGGCTTGATAAGGAGTGCTCAAGGGCGTGCAGGCTTGCTAAGGGGGAGGTATACCCTAAAATTTTCGGATTTGGCTTTTCTGGTATTTAGTATCGTCTTAAAGCTGACATTCTGCCCTATCCAATGATACCACTGCGATCCCTCTACGTGGATTTTACGCACATGGCTGAGCATTAAAGGGGGGCGGGTGGTGGAGTTCCTTCACTAATTAGATATAAGGTAATTAGCTGCTGAGCATTTTAAATATAGTTTCTACTTGAGTTGTGCTGCAGTTACATGCTTAGTCTCATCTTAAAGCTGACATTCTGAGCTTTTCAACGATACTACTGCGATCGCTGTAAGTGAATTTTTACGCAAACGGCTGCGCTTTAAAGGGGGGCGGGGGGTGGATTTCCTTTACAAAATAGATGGCAGGTAATTCAGTCGCTAAGACTACATATATTGGTGTATCTGGCATCAAGGCTCAGTTACCCTGTTTGCTTCGTACGGAGACGTGTGCTGCAAGTCGCTGCTAGCTTCCTTGAGTGGAATTAGGCTACAGAAGCCTGTATTTTTGTCTCTATGCTACATTGAGTGTCTATTTCAAGGAGCGCGGAACTTTGTCGCGCTGTCCTGTAAAGTTGAACTTTTTGTCACGGATAACCTATCTCCTCCTAGAGTTTTGAAGCTACAGCGATGAGACATATACCATTCTATTCGTAAAGACCATACCTATCGAGTAACGAAGCCTTTTTTTGGATTTGTGCATAGTTTGGATTCAAAATGGGGGGGAAGGGGGGGGGAAATGAGAAAAAAACGAAAAAATGGAAAAATGCGTGTGAAAAAAACTAAGGCAAAAAAAATAAATCGGACTTCGTTACTCGATTGGTATGGTCTTTACGAATAGAATGGTATATGACTCATTGCAGTAGCTTCAAAACCCCAGGAGGAGATAGATTTCTACAGTACCCACTTTTTTGTTAGTTTTCTATGAATTTCACGTTTTCTATCAATTTTTCTGAAAAAATTACACGAACAAAAATGTCTTAGAATTCTATTTTACATATGTGTACCGAGTTTCAGAGTGATCCGTTTGTAAACAAAAAAGTTTTTCCGGAGGGTTTACCTCCCCCAATTTGATATTCAATTTGATATTCAATTTGAGTGCAGGAGGACGAGGAGACTTGCCTATGAGTGTATGAGGATGAGAATAATTGCTATCTCTCAAAGGAGGGGGGTAGGCTTGATAAGGAGTGCTCAAGGGCGTGCAGGCTTGCTAAGGAGTGCACATGGGCGTGCAGGCTTGCTGAGGAGTGCACAAGGGCGTGCAGGCTTGCTAAGCAGTGTATGAGGACGTGCAGGCTTGCTAAGCAGTGCATGAAGGACGTGCACGTAGTCTAGTGAAGGCTCAATGACGTTTGGAATCTGTGCCTGCAGACAGCGTTCGTTGGAGGAATGATCTTTACCATCCCACCGTATGACAAACACTCATGAATAAATTGATGAGAATGACCAGTGAACTTCATTTCCTTTCTCCTAACAGGCGTTTATACGATAGTGACAGCCACAGCCGTGTCAGCAGTGCCACTACCAGACACGCCTCCTCCCCTGCTGTTCGTGATGGTATCGACGGCGGGGAGCTGGGAGGCTGTGGCCCGGACGGTGCAGGCTTATGCACCCAGCAGCAAGAGGTCAGTTGTGTAGTTGCCTGATGTGGGCCTAACGTTATCAGTCCATCCAACTTACAATACAAAATAATATTCTGTTCACATAAGCACCACAAAATGCATTGATTATTATTGCTAGTATTTTAGTTCCTTGGCATGTTGATGGCAGACGACAGGTCGTCGTCTGTTGACTGGAAACCCATTATTGTGAAACAATTTGCACCCGACGCAATAAACAGAACTATTATATAGCTTGTTAATAACACTAATACAAGGTAATGGTGGGCCGTATTTGTTAAAAAAGAACGTGAGGACTCATAACTAATAATATTGTTCGCCCGGCATCGATGATACGACAGGTTAAATGGTCTATTCAGTTACGAATACATTGGCTCGTAATATTAAGATATAATTTATTCTGTTCAATTAACAATTATTGACCGCGGCTATCATGATTGTCCGCTAAACACAGCAACAATGTCATGTTGACGTAGCAGCATTTCCTCCTTGTCTTGCCCTGGGAGCACGGAAGCCGCAGTGCTGGGGTCACCCAGGTTCAGCCAGCCGTACTAATAGTATTTTTAACGTGGACCCCAACAAAGGTTTGCAATAAAAGACACTTCCGAAACCACTCTCTTGAATCCGTGTTTCCACACTCTCCTAAAGAAAAAGAACAAAGAATATATAAACTGAACTGATAAATAAATAAACAAAAGACAAAGTATGAACAAATACTTCTCATGAATAAACCAATCTATCTTTACAGAATATGACAAAAATAAAGAAGATCTCGGAATTAATCTAAGTGCAAAACACGGGAACAAATAAATAACCAAGTTAAAACTCACCTTGACACTGTGGGTTTAAATGCGGGACTGACTAAGACGGACTAAAACCTACAAATCTAACTTCCGCATTTCTAAACTGAAAACGAAAAACACAAAAATACAAAATTATATAAATACCAAATTCGAATTCCCTAACTGCAGTGTTGCCGAAGGGGCGGTGGAGTGACTCCTTATTTCCCCACTCGGGGATATTAGGAACCATTATTAAGAGAAATGAGAGGGTCGAAATAGCCTTTATATGGTCCTATTTTGCCCATATGCGAGTCATCACGGCCCAGTTTGACCCGCATCAGTGCTACGTCCGCTCTCTGCACGTGCTAAGTGTAAGAAAGTGGGTCATTATTTGGACAATTTGATCGATTCATTTTCTTGGTGAATTTGCTACTGGCATTATACCCGTAGTTTGCAAAGTACTGTATTATCTCTTCCAGCTGTCAGTGGAATTAATTTATCCATTTACTTGTAATGGTCTTATATTGCATCGCAGGTACGCGGCCATTAGCCTGAGCAAGCGAGAACTTAGCGCGGAGGAGGAGCGACGGCTGCTGGCGCTCCTGCACCAAGAGGGGATAAGGACCAGCGACACAGGCGCCTCGTGCAGCGACATCGACGAGTGAGGATGTTTGGGATTGGGTATTGGGGGATGATGTGGGGTTAGGAGGGCTGCTGTGGGAGATGGTTTGGGGTTGGCAGGGCTGTAGTTGGGAATGGTGTGGGGTTGGGAGGGCTGTAGTGGGGGATGGTGCGTGGGTTGGGATGGCTGTCGTAGGGGAAGGTGTGAGATTAGGAAGGCTTGGAGTGGGGGATGTTGTGGAGTTAGGAGGGTTGTAGAGTGAGATGGTGTGGGGTTAAGAGGGCTGTAGTGGGAGATGTTGTCGGGTTAGGAGGGCTGTAGTGTGAGATGGGGCGGGGCCAGAAGGGCTGTGGTGGGGGATGGTGTAGGGTTAGGAGGGCTGTAGGGGCGAATGGTGTGGGGTTGGGAGGGCTGTAGTGGGGGTGGTGTGTGGGTTAGGATGGCTGTAGTGGGGAATGGTGTGGGGTTTGGAGAGCTGTAGTGGGGAATATTGTGGGATTAGGCGAGTTGTAGCGTGAGATGGAGTGGGGTTAGGAGGGCTGTAGTGGGGGATGGTGTAGGCTTACGGGGGCATTACTGGGGGATGTTGTGTGGTTGGAACGGCAGTATTGGGAGATGGTGTGGGGTTAGGACGGCTGTAGTGGGGGATGGTGTGGGGTTAGGACGGCTGTAGTGGGGATAGTGTGGGGTTACGACGCCTGTAGTGGGAGATGATGTGGAGTTAGGACGGCTGTAGTGGGAGATGGTTTGGGGTTAGAACGACTGTAGTGGGAGATGGTTTGGGGTTAGGACGGCTGTAGTGGGAGATGGTGTTGGTTGGGACGGCTATAGTTGGAGATGGTGTGGGGTTAGGACGGCTGTAGTGGGAGATGGTGTNGGAGATGGTTTGGGGTTAGAACGACTGTAGTGGGAGATGGTGTGGGGTTAGGACGGCTGTAGTGGGAGATGGTGTTGGTTAGGACGGCTATAGTTGGAGATGGTGTGGGGTTAGGACGGCTGTAGTGGGAGATGGTTTGGGGTTAGGACGACTGTATTGAGAGATGGTGTGGGGTTAGAACGGCTGCAGTAAATTATACAACAGGATGGACGTAGCATTTGAAGACGAAAATCGTAAGGTATTGAAGGCGCCCATTGCTTCTATATGCCTGATGTGGGGTTACGTAAGGCTGCTTTAGAGACGATGTGCAGTGAGTTAATTTACATTGAATGTATTCACGGCGCGCGGGTCGTCGCAGTGACGTTCATTTTTTACCTACAGTGTGGGCTGGCGCCGTCTTCGCATTTGCGACGACCTGTGATTTCCTGTCCGTGACGTGGACCCAGCCAACGAGAAGTGGCGCCGATTCTGGAGTTCCTGCATTGCTGGAACCCATAACGCGGACTGACCGTCATATCCTGCTGTATCCGTGGGTTGTTTGTGCATGTCAGCTGTCCTGTGACGTTTAGAGCAGTTAATCATTATAATGTCGCTGAACTTTTCGCTGGAGAGTTCCATGCTTTCCACGTCGGTAACCACGTTTGATAAAATGCTACTTCAGGTGCTACATTCACTAGTTGTCTTGTTTATTTAGGATTGTTTTGATATGTCTAAATTAGCGAAGAGTTCCACGTTTCTTCTCCAGGCTGGAAGGCCTCGTGAGCTTTATTGCCCGCCTGCCAAGCCATGCCAACGGCTAAGCATGGCACGCCCGTATTTATATAACGTGTCCATGTTTGCTGCGTGCAGGCGGCCTGGTTATTTATTGATTGCATCTTCACTGCAATGACTTATTCTCCAAGCTGGCCTATTATTTAATATTAATATATTGACTGTGCAGCAATGCAACAGTGCAGTGATGAACCAGCGGCGAGTGCTCGAGTGCTCGCTCTTGCTGCAATAAATTATTCACTAATGTTGTATATAACCTATGGATTATTGTTATGATTACTATGTTCGTGTTTCAATTTGCTATATTGCTCATCCTTTGTTTATAGAATAAATTATTCGAGTTGCGAAATCGCGGATTTTTCATTGATCCTTTGTTTCAAGTGTCAGGTGACAATATTGATACCATTTGTCCCTGGATATTTCCTCATTAATATCTTCCTTGTTGAAAGATAATCTCCTTCACTTCGATATGTTCATAAACATTTCCTTGTATATGCCTTCCGTGTTTATTAATTCTCGCCCTTGGTGACGTCAATTAGCGAAGCTATAAAAGCTCTGTCTCAAGCGATTAACTTCAGTCTTGGGCGAGGACCGCTACGGTATACCCCATTGCTCCTGTCCATGTCAAACAGGTCAGTAACGCTAGCTCAACGTCTGAGTGGAGAACTCCCCGCGGATACACTCTAGACTTATTCATTTATTTACTTCACCTGGACGCCGAAGACATCATTGTTAAAGCTCCAACTTATAAACATAGATTATCCTAAACTGTGCGCCGAATTATAATCATAAAGGTATATTATATAATCGTTTACTCTGTCCCTCTATATCCTCGGATCCCGCTACAGAAGAACCACCTTCAGGTCATACTAATTACCATTCATATAAGAGATGCATAGAAAAAGCAACATCTTACACAAGAACAAATGAGTTGAGTTGTCAAGTCGTATTTCCCTGCTGTGCCGAACGGCTCGAATTATTCGAACAATTTTATTAACAGAAACAAATTGGTTAACTAAGCATCATTAAATTCCATAGCTTGGAATTACTGAAGAGGAACACAATAGAGCTGATAGTCTCCACGTCAGTCATCTTTAGAAGGACATTTTCTCTTCTGAGGGAACCTCGTGACGCCGCACGCCTCGTGACGCCGCACGCCTCGTGACGCCGCACGCCTCGTGACGCCGCACGCCTCGTGACGCCATCCTATACGCTCGAAGACCCTGCCATGAAGTAGACTTCGATGCCTCGCAGATCTCACGGCACCTCAGCTCTGCAGGCCTACAACTACATCAAATGAAGTTTCGCTTGTGAATGATAGCTTCATCACAAGCAGTATATGAAGTACGGGCATAAAGCTTTATGTATCAACGTTAACAATGCAGGAAAGCACAAAATATGGTGTCGTTAATGTTTTGAGAGAAAACTTAGGTCGTACAAGATCATGTACCCTTCTAATCCAACGAAATTAACCAAATGTTTTCACGTTATTCTTCAGTTTCTTATGATATTAATTAGTTTCTTGTTTCGTATGTGGTCAACAAATATGAAATCATCAACATCAACATATCTAGTACAGACAATTATAACAAGACTTGTGAATTTTTCGCAGACGTTTTTCTGAAAAGGCCTCTGAAATCTTTACCAAAACGTGAGCCATCCCCCGCTGCTCATTCGCGAAAAGTTTCAAGTTTGGTCAATATTTCGAGATTGAAAAATGATATATTCGATTCAAAAAAGCTTGTAAACCTAAATTAGATCAATACAGAAATTGAAAATATTATTCAACGTAACGACTATGTATATAACGTGTATAGGTTTGGAGTTAATTAAATCGTATGTTTGTGAAATTTATATTGCGACATAAAAATACGCAAAAAATGGTATTAAAATGACAAAATGAAATGGTACGAGAACCATGAAAAGCACCATAGTCACTATACGGACTTTGGCATGAATGAGGGATCTGGTGCTTCTCTTTATTAGTCCAGAATGACTATAGAGCAGGTTAGTGGACCTAGAATAGAATAGAAGTGTTGGCATTTAAGAAATAGGCCCATGTAATATATACAATACTATATATATATAAATGGTGAGTTTTTTCTGTAATCAAAATTACAGCGTTTTTTAAAGGTCTGCCCTCTACAATCTAGCAGATAATAACTTTCATATTGGAAAAGATTAAGAAATATAGACACATTTATGTGGCTAAAACTTGAATATATCATTCATAGGACCTGTACTGAGCGTCTAGCACGTCGCGAACGAACGTCTGTTGCTGTAGTGCTGGAAAGGCATACGGCATGATCCCACTCTGCAGTGTCTGTAGCTTACAAATATTTTATTATTGAAAGCATAAAACTATACTGGAAATAATATATTAATTGAGAATTGATTTGCACACGATATTCCATCGCGCGAAGCTCATCGTAAAAAATTGGTACGTTTGGGCACATTCAGAAAGATAAGAAGAATGTGGAAGAAAATTAGACCTACAAGCGACTGACAGATGGTTTGTTATCCTTCGTTCGTTGCTTATTTAGGTAACTTAAGGGCAGCAAATGCCCAGGCTTATATGGGGCAGCAGCAGTAAAGTATTAAATTTGAAAACTTTCCTCAGTATTCAGTTAAATTCCATAATACATCGTAAGGAACCCCGGTTTGATTTTGCCTACGAGGTATCTCCTAAAAGAACTGTTCCTGAGAAAGGACTGTTCCTGAGAAAGGATGGTTCCTGAGAAAGAACTGTTCCTGAGAAAGGACTGTTCCTGAGAAAGAACTGTTCC